GGTTGCTTGTGCACCATGTATGTACAGTGCCATCAGACTCCCGAAGAGAGCATCGGATCCCCTGGAACTGGAATGACAGGTAGTTGTGAGCTACTACGTGGGTGCTGGGAATCACACACATACTGTGACATGCCCCTCAAGCACATCATGCACATACATATAAGAAGAGTGCTCAGAGAAAAGACTGAAAATAACAAAGTGAAATTTAAATAATGTCACATAAATAAATATATGTCCATATAAAACAGAAATCCTATTTTTAAGAAAATATACAAACAAAAAAAGTTAACAAAATTTAGTTTTCTATGTGGGAAAGGGAGGAAACATTTCAGTGTCATTGTTAGAGACCAAAGATGACGAAGTATCATGTGTAAAATCAAACCAATAAATAAATGAACATAAAACCTAGAGGCAATGTAATAAATACTGTACAACTGTCTCTGGGTTGGGGAAAATGACAACTTTGGGCCTTTTTTCCTTAACACATACATAACTCCAAAGTTTTTATGCTAAACATCTATGTTTTGAAAATAATTATTTTGAAAAATATAATCAGATATATGTATTAAATCATCCAGAGAATGTTGGTATCTGGAAGAAAAGCCCTATTAAAAGCAGCTGTGACAACAAGCTCAGGCAGAATCAGGGTGGAGAAACTGCTGGTCAGGCCCCGGGGCTCAGATCATCATCTCAGAGTCCATGGAATGAAAGGCCCCAGCTCCACAGCACATGATGGGATGGAGGGCAAGAGGACCGAGTGCCTCCAGGAGGGAAGTGGACAGAGAAAGGCAGGCAGCCCTGGAGCAGGCTGAGTCTGGCCTCCTTCAACTGTAGGATCATGCCCAAGGAAGCAGAAAAATGTGCTGACAGCCGCAAGAGAAGCACAAAGGTTACTGAAATCTGACTCAAAGACACTAACCCCCAGAAGCAGAGGCAGGTGAATCTCTCAAAATTCCAGCTTGCGCTACATTTTGAATTCCAGGCCAGTCAGGGCTGTGTAGTGAGATCCTGCCTATAGATAGATAGATAGATAGATAGATAGATAGATAGATAGATAGATAGATAGATAAAGGCAGATAGGGAGTGTGAAGAGGCGGCTCCTACACTGATGATTGAAGGAGGCTTGGGACCCACAGAGGAACCAGCTGAGCAGGCAAGTCCTCTGCATGGAGATAGATAAGCAGATCACATTGGCTGGCCTGAACGGGAAGGACTTGAGGGCAAAGATGAGGAAGAGATCATCTTGCTGATAAACTCGCTGAGGGCTGAACTAGCTGAGAGGCTGACATGTGCTGAGTTTGTGAGAGGTTGTTAGGTAAACTGAAAAGGACAGGGTGATTTGGAAGGCAAGCTGAACCGCACAAAAGAGGAACCTGTATGCACAGGATGCTGGACCAGGCTCCTCCCCGACTCCAGCTCGCCCTGGTCCTGCCAAAAGCTTGAAACAGAGGGATGCTTTCTCCCTGCCTCCATCCTCTGCCCCTTGTGGCTCTCTTGTCTACTTGCTTCTGCCTTTTTCCAGAGATTCCAGCTGGGCTAAAGGATGAGCAGTTTTGAGGGGCATTAAGGGAATGCAATCACAATAAAAAATGTCTTTTAAAAGCATGAAGTGGAGCCAGGCGTTGGTGGCGCATGCCTTTAATCCCAGCACTTGGGAGGCAGAGGCAGGCGGATCTCTGTGAGTTCGAGGCCAGCCTGGTCTACAGAGCGAGTTCCAGGACAGCCTCCAAAGCCACAGAGAAACCCTGTCTCGAAAAAACCAAAAAAAAAAAAAAAAAAAAGCATGAAGTGGGGCTGGAGAGATGGTTCAGCAGCTATGAGCACTAGCTGCTTTTCCAGAGGACTGTAGTTCAATTCCCAGCACCCGCATGGAAGCTCACAACCATCTTTAACTCTGGTTCCAGGGGATCTGATGTGCTCATCTGCACCAGGCACACAAATGTTAGAAAACATACATGCAGGTAAAACACCTATATACATAAAAATTTTAAATTTAATTTTAAAAAGAATTCTGTAATGTACACATTTTGTAATGGCTTTGCTGTTTGTAGCAATTTAAATTTATTTTCTAGCTTATTCACTGCTTAGAAGCAGCAATCTAATGTCTTTCTTCTTTTTGGAAGATGTCTTTTCAGCCTAATACATACTGTCTTCTCCATAGAGGAGGAAAACAAACAAGTATGGGCCTGCCTTACTGACAGCCAAATCGAACCCAGGCAGAGACTCCATCTTGGGAAACTTCGCTGTTCTGTACAGGGCCCCAGTCAGACAGGAAAGGGAATTCTAGGAAGTTAGCCCTGAACAAAAACATACTGCACTGTTAAGGTTTCTAACTTTGGGTATCTTTGGACAACCATTTATTTATTTTTCATTAGAAGTAACCAAATTAAGATGGTGAGAAAATGTGGTACATCTACACAATGGAGTACTATTCAGCAGAAAAAAATAATGGAATCATGAGATTTGCAGGCAAATGGATGACACTAGAAGAAACCATCCTGAGTGAGGTAACCCAGTCACAAAAAGAGAAACATGGCATGTACTCTCTCATATATGGATTTTAGACATAGATCTGGGGAGTGCCAGCCTACAATCCTATGGCCAGAGAGTCTGGGAAACAGAAACTTCATTTAGTGGCTGATCGAAGAAGAGGCAGACTCCCTTGGTTAAGTACTGAGCTGAACTCAAGAAAGCCAGTAACAGAGAGGGAGGACTGATGATCAAAGGGATTAAGACTGGGCTGGTTTAACCCCCCGAAACAGCTGACCAGACAAAGGTTAACTCTTGAATCCCAGGCATTAGCCTGGGAATCCAGCATGGGACTGATCAAGACCCCCTGAATCTGGGTGTCAATGAGGAGGCCTAGGGAATCTATTGAGCCTTGGGCAGCAGATCAGTACCCATCCCAAGTATACACACAGACTTTGGACTCCCATAGAACAATGTGAGGTGCACTCTCACCCTGAACTCTTGGGGAAGGGTCTAGGCCCTGCCCTATATGAAATGACAGACTATGGACACCCCCATGGAGGGCCTCACCCTCCCTGGGGGAATGAGGGGATAACGGGGGGGGGGGTTGGGGGAGAGGGCACGGGAAGAGGGGAGGGAATGGGAGAGGGACCTGGAACTGATTTGTGAAGCAACCTTGTTTCTTATCTAAATTTAAACTGGAAAAAAAAAAAAAAAAGATGGTGAGACTCTGAGACCCACCCACTAGTTCCCTCAGCACTAGGGTATTGTGCATGTTAGGCAAACACTCTGCCACTCATCCACAGCCCTGAGAACAAGTTTGTTTCTCTTGTTGTCTCTCTCCTTTCTCCCTGCCCCAAAAGTATCATGCGCTCCTTAATGCTGAGAGGACCATTCAGTGTTCTCCCGAATCCCTCAGTGGAAGAAAGCAAGCCGTGTTTGTGCCACAGAATTAGCTGCACGAAGCTCACCTCATCGCCCATTTCTGGGTGGGGGCTGCTGTCTCTAAAGTGCTATCTCAAGGCACTTTGTATCAGGCAGTGCCAGAGAGACCTTGAATAACTCGTGTTTGATATTTTAACACTTTTTATTATTTTGAAACTTTGTCTTTTGTGGGTTGGTGTACCATGGCACTCCACTTGACTACGGAAAGTTCTCTGCAATCTGTAGGCTGGCAGTGTGCTAATCTAGACAAATTTCTCTCCATACCCAACTGCCACTTAAAAATTGTTTTGCTTATGAATTCTTGTGTATGTATACACTGCATGAGTGTAGAAGTCAGAGGACTTAAGATGGTTCTCCCCTTGTACCACGTAGAATTCAGGTGGCTAGCTCCTTTACCCATTGAGCCATCTTACTGGTCCCAATCTAGAATATTCTAAAACCCACCATTAAAATATGGACAGGTTTTGCGTGCCTGTAATTCCAGCAGCGCTCAAAGGCTAAGATAGGAGGAAGTTCAAAGCTAGCCTGTGGTTCATAGTAAGTTCTCTACCACTCAGTGCAACATGGTGACACCATGGGACCCTGTCTTAAATAGGTGCTTATGTATATATGTATCAATTTGTCAAAGAATAAATAAAAGACTCTAAAAATTAAAAGTTTAGGTTTTCTTTTTTGTTTTCTGAGACAAGGTTTCTCTATATAACAGTCCTGCTCTCTTGGAACTCTCTCTGTATATCATGCTGGCCTTGAAAGTTTAATTTCTCTAAAGAACAAAAACAGACCTGACTAGAGCCCAACCTCCAGAGAGGAAGGAAGAACTTCCTGTCACTCTCACTGAACTTGTGACTCTTACTTCCTGATGTCCAGGCTCCTTGTTCTTAACTCCAAAATCTGTTCTATATTTTTCTGCATTCTTCAATGCCTGGCTTAAAAGTTACTCCCTTTGTGAAGTTGCCTCTAAAACCAGTAGGCATAGGCAGAGTGAGTTGGTTGTTTTGTTAGATGATTGATTTGTTTGTTTGTTTGTTTGTTTTTGAGACAGGGTCTTAGTCTAGGTTGGCCTTGAGCTCATTACATAGTTGAGGACAATCCTAAACTCCTGATCCCCCTTCCTCTTCCTCCCAAGTGCTGAGAGTTCATTCTTTCCAGCAGATATTTAGTGAACACCTTGATTCATGTTTGCAGCCCTATGTTATGTATGGTTATTGTCTCCTTAAATGTTGGATTAAAAAAAAAAACACCCAAAAGGACATTTCTTCCACAGAACAGGTTGCCCATGGTCTGTATCGATAGTAATAGATATTCATTCAAATAGCCTGGTACAGTAGAAGGATAAGCTTTGCAACCAGATGAACTTGAGTTCAGAGGCTGGCCTGCCTCTTACTGACTGACCCTGAACAAGTATCTGTGTCTGCAATGACCTCGGCAATGACCGATGCAAGACTGAATGGGTGCATTGTAGACACGCTGCAAATTCGTGGGAAAATGCTTTCTAATCTATAAAAAAAAAAAGCTACAAGAACGCAAGAGCTAGTGATGCTGTGAGCAGGTGGACGAAAGAACCTGAAGTAAGACCAGCAAACTTGTAAACCAGGAGCAGTCATTTAAAAATTAGGCCACCAACAGCCAGCCAGTAAAGCGACTTTCATGCAGTACTTTTCCAAATGCTCGACAGATGTTCTGATTTTGCTTCTAGGCGCTCAATGCATTCACAAGAGGAAAACACTGGGTAGAACTGTTAGCACTGCTCAGTAAATACTAAGAAATGTATGTATCTATCTAAACAAAGAAATCCCCAGGAGTATAAAGTTCAACTGAAAGTGAGAACCAAGTTTATGCAGAAGCCTATTTGCCAACAATTAATTTCATAAACACCATGATAACCATAGTAGTACTACTCTTTTTTTTTTTTAAATGTAGTTACATTGGGCACTTTATACACATTACGTCATCCAGTCCCTAAAACCACATCACTGAATAGAAATTATCATTCCCTTTCTTTCCCTTTCTACCAATAAGCAAATAGAGCAAGGGGGTGGTGGTAGTGGAAATATAAATCCAAAGTTTATCTAAAAGGAGTGAGTCATTTTCCTTTCCACAGTGGGCTAACCTCGTGAGCATTTCCCCTGCTAAGCACTCTCTTGCTTCTGTGCAGAATCCCTCTCTTGGCAGTTACAGCTCATCCTTCTGATCAAAACGGGCTTCCTTTTTACCCAGAAATGCCCTGTCAGCACCGTCTTCCTGCTGGGGCTTTCCATCTGGTTCCTCCTCGTCCTCCTCTTCATTGTCCTCGTCCTCCTCATCCAGTCCCCAGATGTCCTCTTGCCTGGCCCGCTGCTTTTCCCTCTTCTTTTTGGCCTCTTCTGCCTCCTTCTTTTTCTCCATTTCCTCATACAGCTCTCTCCACTGCTGCTCTACATCCTGTTTAAAGTGTGGAATTTCAAAGTTTCACAGATGATACAAACAGATACATTTTAGAAACATCTGTATTCTTCCCATTGACTTCAAGATTCCTGGAGTGGTGTTCATTTACATATGAATTTCAGTACCAATGAGGTGGAGAGAAATCTGTGCCTGGGTGTAGAATGTACAGTTCACTTGTAAATAGATTCAAAGGTAGGCACAGTGTTGTATACCTGTAATCCTAGCGCCTGGGAGGTGGAAACAGGATCAGAAGTTCAACGTGATCCTCTGATAGACAAAGAATTTAAGGTTGCCCTGGACTACCTAAGACCCTGTCTCAAGATGAAAAAAGTAAAATGAAATGAAAACTAAAGTAAAATAATTAAAAATATAAAGTGGACTGGCAAAATGACCTGGTAAGGAAAGGTACTTGACCAAGACTGTTGACCTGAGTTTGAGCCCTGGGACTCAGAGTAAGAGTTGTACTCTGACCTCCACATGTATACTGTGGCATGTGCGTGTGATTACACAGTAAATAAATGTAATAAAAGTTGAAAATAAATTATTTTAAAAATAAAAAACAATAAAATAAAATGAATCCAGATTCATCATCTATTTATTTGATGCCTGTGTCATTGCCCAGCACAGGCTAAATATTTGTGTGTTATTTGTATTCCTCACAGTGATGTGTAACATTTGCTCGTCCCGCTTTCTACGGGAGGGAATCTGATGTTTGAATCTTTCTTATTTACTGATTTCCTTATTTTGTCCTTAAGACAGTGTGTATGTGTGTGTGTGTGTGTGTGTGTATTCCAGACTTTGAATGCTTTCTTTTTTCTAAGAATCTTTTTGAGACAGGTTATCTCTATGTTGCCCTAGCTATCCTAGAACTCACTATGTTCTAGGCTGGGCTCAAACTCACAGAGATCCACCTGCCTCTGCCTCCAGAGTGCTGGATCTCAGGTGTGCACCACCATGTCCAATTCTCAATTCTCAATTCTCAAACTCTTTCTTAATCTTCCACCTCTGCCTCCCTCCCTGTAGTTTGCCATCACACCCAGCTCAAGTGCACTTTCTATATTCTGATCTCTCCAAACTGAATACAAGCCCCATGAAGATAACATTTCTTTTTTTTTTTTTTTTTTGGTTTTTTGAGACAGGGTTTCTCTGTGGCTTTGGAGGCTGTCCTGGAACTCACTTGGTAGTCCAGGCTGGTCTCGAACTCACAGAGATCTGCCTGCCTCTGCCTCCCGAGTGCTGGGATTAAAGGCGTGCGCCACCAACGCCCGGCGAAGATAACATTTCTTAATTTTATTTCATTGCTATATCCTCAACAACTGCCATGGTGGACAGGCTCTTATTAAGTATTTGTCAAGTAAATGGATGGTTTAATGGATATCATGTATTGAACATGAGCTAGATATTTGGAACTTAGAAGATAATTGCTATCATTTTTCCTAATTGAGAGATGAGGAAAGTTAAATAAATTGGCTAAGTTCATATAACTAGTCAGGGATGGAGCCTGGATTTGAACCTAAGTAATCCACCTAGAAAATTAATGCTCTTAACTAATATATAATAATGACACAACATCGGTCTTAGAGGGTGGTTCAGTAATGGAGTTACTCTAGCATGAACAAAGCTCTCTAGTATCTAGATCTCTAGTATCACAAAATAAAGATGACAACACTAAAGTAAAGCAAGGCAAAACCAGTATGTTTAAGGCTGAGCACAGGGTCAGCAAGATAGCCCAGTGGGTAAAGACAAACGCTACCACGCCTAACAGCTTCAGTTAGATCTGTTGGGAGTCAGGTCTGGTGCCAAAGACCAGTAATTTCACCTACTTAGGAGGCTGAAACAAAGAGCACATGTTCAATGCCAGCCTTGGCTACAGGGTCAGCCTGGGTAACTTCATGAGAGCCTGTTTACACTACAAAGTATACAGAGTGTGTAGCTGCCTAGCACACCTGTCCCTGGAAACACGAACGACTTCTGTGTGGGCTCTGGGAATCCGAACTCTGATCCTCATGCTTACACAGCAAATGCTTTATCAACAGAGCCATTTCTTCAGCTTGGGGCACTTGGGGACAGGGTTGTGTTTTTGCTTTTACCTTCTGTGTGTGCTTTGCCAGTACCTAAGCTTCCTGCAGAATTATTAAGCTCTGGCTATGAACCTATTTGGATTGACCTTCCTGGAGTGCCAGGACATCTCAATGCAGAATGTCTTCCTCATGAAGTCACTGTCCTGAACATCACTCCACACATGAAATAGCTTTGGGAAGGGAGGAGTGGTAAACAGCCCTACCACTTCCTCTGGTTTCCAAATCATCTGAGGTGGGCTGAGTGGCTCCCTCTAGTGGCACACTAAGAAGGCATTGTGATACCCCAAAAGACCATGGGTTCTGGGTTCAGGCTCAACTCAACAAGTCAAAGGCTATGTGTGACCTTGTGCAGTTTAGCCTCTGAATCTCAGTTTCCATACCTAAGAAACAGAATAATATTTACATTTCAAGGTTACCTTAAGGGTCATATAAGATACATCTTGCAAAGTGCTCAGAGTGACAAGTCCTGTGAATGTGAGTTCTCTGTCTCTCAAGGCCATGTGACCAGAATTGGGATAATGGCTGTGGGTCCTGATTTTGCAAATGGCAGAATCAGACATCTAGAATTCAGGGTGGAGGAACACCTCACCTTTCTTAATCCCCAGGTCTTATTTCCAACCTCTTCAGCAAACTCTTCATCATTTGTTAGAAGAAAATTGTCAAAGATGCTGCCAGATTTCACCTGTTGAAATGAAAACAGAAAGATTATTACAAGTAAGTAGGTCCCTAGGGTGGCTATAGATCTGGTTCAGTGGTTAAGAGTGATTCTTGTATAAATATGAGGACCTGAGTTTGGATCCCTATCACTGGTAGAAAATGTGTATGGCTGTGAGGGTGCCTTGTAACCCCAATGCTGTCTGGGGGAGAGACGGAAGGATCACTGGGGCTTACTGGCTAGCTCCAGGTTCAGTGAGAGACATTGTCTGAGAGAATAAGATAGAGAGTGACAGAGCAGGACACCCAATATTCTCCTCTAGCCATTGGTATATGCACCTACAAACACACATGCATGTAACCCCCCTCCACAAAAGGCTTTTGCCATATTTATTTATTGTATATGTGTGTACCTGTGTCAGTTTATGTTCACCACATGAGTGAAGGAGCCCTCAGAGGCTGAAAGATTGTATCAGATCCCCTGTAATTAAAGCTACAGACTCTTGTGAACTACTGTGTGGGTGCTGTTAACAAAACCAGGGTCCTCCACAGGCAAAGGGTTTCATGCACCTTCAAACCCTTTATGTAACAGCACATGAAAGCCTGTCATTAAATCAAAACAAAATTTTAGTATTTGTGACTGAAAGATTAAATGCATGCTTTATAGTAGTTTCAGTATTTATTTTGTGACAAAGGAAAAAAATAGATAGGAGCATAAGACATGGAGTTGAACACACCAGCTCAGCTACATTCTAGTTTTATGACATTAGGCAAGTTACTCAATCCCTTTGAGTTATTCTCACTTAAGTAAATCAAGGAAGTCAGACATAATGGCCCATGCCTGTAATCCCAGGATTTGGGAGAGTAAAGCAGAAGGATTAGGAGTTCAGGATCATCTTCAACTATTTAGTGAGTGTGAGATCAACCAGGGCTACCTGAGTCACTGTCGATGATGATGATGGGTGTGGTATATATTCCTTTGATCCAAACATTCAGAAGGCAGAGGCAAGTGGCAGGCAGATCCCTATGAGGTCGAGGCTAGCCTGGTGAGTTCCAGGCCAGCTAATATGTGACATAGTAAAACTATCATCATCATTACCATCATCATCATCATCATCATAGTAACATGAATAATGGAAAATAATAACTCTCTGATACCAGTGTCATGAAAATTAGGACTAATGCCTAGCACAGTGCCTAGTAAATGTCATTCAGTAGACAAGAATGATTGTTATAACTTTTCAGTATCTAGATGTATTTCAAAGGACCAAAAGGTGACCAATCTGTGATTTTGTATGTGTACTAAATCATTGCTAAGATAGGCATGGTGGTGCACACCTTGAATCCCAGAACTTGGGAGACAGAGGCAGGTGTTGGGGAATATTATTTTAAGGTGTGCTGCTTTTGTTTATGCTGCATTTGGTTAACTCTGTGAAGCTGTGATTCTTGGCCTGTCTAAAACACCTGATGGTCTAATAAAGAACTGAACAGTCAATAGTGAGGCGGAACCAAGGCTAGGTGGAGCTGGCAGGCAGAGAGTATAAACAGAAGGAAAAACAAGGGAGAAGAGGATGTCAGAGGCCAGTCACTCCCCACCCACCCCGCCAGCCACCCCCACCCTGCCAGCCAAGGAGTAAGAGTGAAAGTGAGATTTACAGAAGAAAGAAAAGGAAAAAGCCCAGAGACAAAAGGTAAGGGATAATTTAAGAAACAAGTCAAGCAGTCAGGCGGTGGTGGAGGCAGAGGCAGAGGCAGGCAGATCTCTGTGAGTTCGAGGCCAGGCTGGACCAACAGCCTCGAAAACAATACAGAGAAACCCTGTCTCGTAAAAAGCAAAAAAAAAAAAAGAAAAAGAAAAAAAGAAAAGAAAAAAAAGAAACAAGCCAAGCTAAGGCCAGGCACTCATAACTAAGAATAAGCCTCTCTGTGTGATTTATTTGGGAGCTGGTTGGTGGGCCCCCCCAAAAAACCAAAAGAGTAAAACATTGCATAACAGGCAGGTGGATCTCTATGAGTTTGAGACTGGCCTGGTCTACACAGTGAGTTCCAGGACATCCAGAGTTACATAGTGAGACCCTGTCTCAAAAATCAAAAATAAAATAAATTATTGTTAATTTCACTCTAACTCTTGTGTGAGGAGAAAAAAAAGTTTTCCACTATGAAGCTTCTGGGCCTCTCCTCTGTATTTTATAAAGCTCTGTCCTGCGGTTTGGTGACCACAAGTCTATATATTTTTTGCACTTTTGTTCTTAATAAGAAAGGCATTTTATTTGACTTACATCATTACACTGGCACTGCTTCCTACAGAAAAATAAATGACAAATAGACATAGGAGAGCAGGAAATTTTTAGTTTGCTCTAAGACATTTACTTTTAAATTGGCTTATAAAATTCCTTTTGCAACTGTGAGATGTTTTCTGACCTTTAGGGTTTTTTTTTTTTCCCTTTTGAGTGTCTGCAATTTCGATTAGAAAACTGCTTGGCCATCTTTTCTACTGAAAAGAGTGTTCCTATCCTCTCTGTTTTCTTCAGTGACCTCTAGCTCCCTCCCCACTTAACATCAAAGTCCCAGCCCTGCTTCCTAACAGCTTGGTCTTCGGTTGACTTTGATCTGTTCATCTCCCATCTGTGCTTACAGGTTTTTATCTGCAATATGCAAATAGAAGAAAACACACTTCTTCCCCTGTGGGGTTCACATAATTAAGAGGAAAGAACATGTGAGAAAGAGTTGCATTCAATTGTAAATACAGCCTTAAAGCTGTTTCAACAAGTTACTTCATTGGAAGTTACTGGTTTTCCTGGGCTGTTCCTCTTGATCATACAGTGGAAAAGGTAGGGGCTGGAGAGATGGCAGTGGGTGAAGTGCTTACATACATGGACCTGAGTTTGGGTCCCCAGCACCCAGTCATCATGGCCCAGGCTGTAATCCCAACCCAGGGAGGGGACAGAGGTAGGTAGACACACTGGATAGCCAGTTTGGCTAAAACAGCAAGATCCAGCTCAGCAAGAAACCCAGTCTCAAAAAGTAAGATGCGCTAGGCGGAGGTGGCACACACCTTTAATCCCAGCACTCGGGAGGCAGAGGCAGGTGGATCATTGTGAGTTTGAGGCCAGCCTGGTCTACAAAGTGAGTTCCAGGACAGCCAGGACTGTTACACAGAGAAGCCCTTGTCTTGAAAAACAAAAAACAAAACAAAGTAAGATGGACAAATGACTGAGGAAGAGCCTCAGGTATCAGTGTCTGGCCTAAGCATGGGCTAGTGTGCCAGACACACAGGGTGTGTGCGTTAGTTTGTGTTACTGTCCCTTCAAAGGTCAGATGGAGCCTTGATGAAGGGGATGCCTGCTCTCTGCCGCCTCCTCCCAGCTTCAGTCCTAATACCAGAATGCAGTCACTTCCAAGTAGGGGGGAAGTAATGGACTGAATTTGGAGGCACCGGAAGAGGAAAGAAGAAGTGTCAGGGACTAGGCTGTTCAGCTGGGACAGAGGCAGGGTAAAGAAGGCGGTTGGGATGTCAGAGCATCTTAGGGCTGGAAACTCTTGGTAGAGGAAGCAGGTCTCTGTAATTAGTCGCTTGTCTTTTCCTGTAAGATGCAAGAATTCTGTGGCTAATTGGATATTCCTGGTTAGCTGAGTGAAGAGAAGTATGACCTGGGAGTCAGACCTAGCTAGAAAGTATAATAAAAAATAATGTCTGTGAGGATGATGTCAGCATCGTGCGGAATTATCACATGCACGCACACACACCTCAGGTTTTAGAAACAAAGTCTCGGGGGCTTCATTCCAGATCAGAATCTATGATCCTCTGTTGACCTACATTCATCAGAATTGAGGCTTGGAGAGCACCCCTCTGACATGTTTAGATTCTTCAAATAGGAAGGTTTGTCTGTTTAGAGAGGTTGACAGGGCCCAGAAAAATTTGTTCCACAGTTTTAATTTTTTTTAGATACAGAATAAGATGTGTACCCTAATGTTTTTAGTGAAAAACAAAAAATACTTTAAAGGCCAGTGAGATGACCCTGAAGGTAAAAACACTTGTGAACAATCTTCTTGACCCCAGTTCAATCCCTGGAACCCACATGATGAAACTGACTCCCACAACTTGTCCTCTGACAACACACACACACACACACACACACACACACACACACACACACACACACACGTGCATGCACGGTAATTTTTAAGGAAACAGTATTACATTAATATGACTATATAAATTTACATAATATAGAAAGTTCTGGCTTATTTAAAAGGAACAACCCCCCAGAAAAGAGAGACAGCAATGTGAGTGTGTGTGATTTGTATCCATGCTCTTCAGACAAGCCAGGAAGGAAAGAAATAAGCTGTGTCCCTTCCTTCTTCCCAACCTTCTGAACCCTTGCCTGGCATCTGGTAGTGACTTCATTCCATTTCTATGTTGACCTCCTGAAGTGAGGAAACCGAGAAAATGGGAAAAAATGGAGCAGGAAATGAATAAAGAAATTAAGAAAGTAAAACATGGGGTACTTGTTCCAGAAGCTTTGATGAATAAACAAACGTGGAAGCAGGAGGGTGAGAAGGTCAAGGTCATCTGAACCGCATAGCAAGTTGGAGGGAGGCCAGTCTAGACCACATGAGACCTTATCACAAAACAAAGCAACCCAACAAAGATCAACAAAGGAATCACAAAGTGTAAGTAGCACCCTGGAGTAGGTCTGATAAAGAGAGACTGTTGCTCCTGTCCAAGTTTTCTGCTTATCTTATCAGGTGCGTATCTTCAGGAAATTTATTTGACTTTTCTGAGTCTCCTTTTGATGTTGAGAAGTAGGTATATGGTGAAAATGAAAATTAAACAACCATTCAAAGTCATATATACAGTATATAGAAGGAACTAAGTAAACTGGGTGGTGGCAGAGGCAGGTGGATTTCTGTAAATTTGAGGCCAGCCTGGTCTACAGAGTTAGTTCCAGGATAGCCAGATTGGTTACACAGAGAAACCCTGTCTTGAGAAACAAAAGGGGTGTGTTTGGGGGGGGGGGCTAAGTAAATTTTGGCTCGTATAATTTTGAAGATAAATATAATTACTCCCATTTTAAAGATGAGTTGTTTGAGGTTTAGAAAGATTAAGATTTACTCAAGTCTGTAACTTGGGCTGGGGAATTTTCTATTCTGGTATCTTCAAGGACCACTGGTCAGAAGCTATGAGCCCAGAGTACTTTACCTGCCAAAGATCCAGGCCAAGGACACTGATGTTATAATAGTGACAGATGGTGGGGTCAGGCTTGTATTTGGGGTTGTCTATCTCTGGGTGAATCCACTCCCCTTGGTAATTGGGATTGTCAATGATCCGAGGCTTCCATTGTCCCTACACAGAGGACCAAAAGTGAACATGTGAATAGTGATTTTCCATTCTTCTAATATCATGCATCAATCAATTTATAAGCAGTTGTGGACCAGACTCCTAGAACTTTCCCTTTCTTTGAGTAAAGGCATAAGATTCTTCCCAGTTCCCTTTTCCACCTACTGGGAGTGAAAGGACATGGCAGGAGTATTCTGGCCTGGCTCTCTCTCTGAATAGGCATATTCATGAAGTTAAAATGCAGCTTCTTGGAGAACATTGTCTAAGGATCTTGGCACTTGGGGCTGTGTTCTTTCTCCTGTGTGGCACAGGAAACTGCAGTCAGATAAAAATGCCTGCTCCAGTCAGTTTTATTGCTGGACCGTTTGTCAGCTGACTCCTTTCTTTCATTCTTGCTTCTGACATGACATCAGGAGGTCACCTTTAAAAAGAAGTTCCTCTATCCCCTAAATACCTTGGACTCATGAGGATCCACTCTTTGCCCTTCTGGCCTGCCTCTAAGACATTGGGTTCCTGAGTCCTAGACCATTTCCTGTTTGTATCTTGTTCCTTTAACTGGCAGCTTTTCCCAACTCTGGACACGCTCCTTGCCCAAGCCTGCCTAAACTATTAGTGCTGGCTTTACTAGTCCCTCCTCCCTCTCAAATAGGAGGAGGCTGAGAACGGGGCTCTGATGTGGCCACCATTCTATTTGGAGTGAAAGGGGAAGAACACGGGATCTCAGAGTTTCTGCTTTGTTTTTACTTCATTTTATTTTGTTTTGAGACAAGGTCTTGCTGTATGGTCCAGCCTGGCCTTGAACTTGCAATCCTCCTGCCTCAGCCTCCTGAGAGTTATGATTACAAGCTTGCAGGTTAGAAATTTTATTTTCTAGGTTTGGATTGACATCTCTCCTATCTGATTTTTGTCTATAAATTTTCATTGAAAAGAGAGGCTCCCACCTTGTACTTGACGTTTGGTATCAGGGGCCCTTCCCACACCCCATCCATCGCCTCATTCCAGTCATCCGGCTTCTTGGCTTCTGGGTCTGGGATGAACTCAGAGTCCTCCCAGTCCTAAAACAGAGCGTTCCTTCATGAGGACGGTGACATGATCTGGGAGGAAACTTCGAACTCAAGTGCAGACAGGGAATTGGCTTCCTACCCGCCCTGCCCTCGTGCTCTGCTGTGTGATGGCCCAGTGCAGAGGAAATGGCCTTTATGGACCCTGGGGTTCATCATCATTCTGACCTTGAGTGCTTTAAACTCATTTCAGATGGGTATTATCCTTGTCTCTGACCTCATCCTGCCCTTGGTCATGTGGGCTGCTGCTATGTCGTATGTGGTTTGCTCCCACGCAGTCTTTACATTTATTCTGGTTACCCTGAGCATACCTGCCAGACCTGGCTTGAACTCAGACCTTTATTTTCTCATGGCGCCGACCTCCCAGACACTTGACTTAGTCATCTGCCCTGATGTCCTGACTCTATCTATCTTCTTCCCCCTGAGATCAGCTTCCCAGCTAAACTCCCTCTGACCTCAGGTTTCTTATCTTCAGGGTCCTCTATTTGTAGCCGTTCATCCCACTTTCTTGGTTTCCTGGCATAGGGGTCTTTTATTTTCCTGGGAGGCAAGAAGTCCCAGTCATCTTCTAGGCCCCCTGTTGTCACTTTCTCGTTGTCAATTTTAACCTCATAGGTAGCATTGGGGCGAATGATCAGAGTGTACAGGTGAGTGTCTTTGTTGATCTGTAAAGGGAATGGGTGATATTTCAGTTCCAAATAGGACATTGTAGATCTCAGGCACTGTGTTGCCTGAATGACCCCCCACACACACCTCACATATTACACACACTTTGCCACATTCCTTTTTCCCTTCCTCTAGTTAATACACCTAACAGGGATTCTGGGCTCACCCTTCGGGTGCACGGCTCCTGTGGTCCCCAGCTTCTAGCCCTTACTCCATGAAGTTTGATCATTCTCTGATCTTGTTTTCTGTCTGTCCTACTAAACTGTGAACTTCTCAACAGTAGGGGTCATAAATAATTTCTCTATCACGTCTAAGCTTCCAAGTTGAGACTTGCCCCAGAGGAGGCCTCAGCCCCATGTACAAGGCTGATCAGAAAGCCTAGCTTCAACACAAGATCCCTTATGCCCCAGGCCTATGGGCTTTTCTAGACCCTGTTCCTGCCGTTCTCTGGTACACTGGTTGTATCAGCCCTCATGCTGTGCCTCAGTTTCTTGACTTTGCTCATGCAGTCTCCTCTTCCAAGAATTCATCTTTCCCTAAATTGTCACACTCATCTTTCAGCACAAGGGAAGCCTTCTCCAGGAAGCAATCCTCTACCATGTTGAGGAGGAGTCCTCTTCTCTGCTCCCTTATCGCTTTTCTTCACTTGACTCTTATCTTTACTCAATTGGGAAAGTTTTGTTTTTGTTTTGTCTCGGTGATACCTTGATAAATTGCTCAGGTTGGCATTGAACTCACAGCCCTTTCACCTGAGCCTTCAGAGTAGCTAGGATTACAGGCATAAATCACTCACTGTATCAGACTTTACTGTGAGTTTGGTTAATTTGAAAGAACTATCTGGCAGAATCTATCCCATGCACAAGGCCCAAGGCAGAATTAGTATTTGGTTAATAATGCCTCTTAGTACTATTGATTGATCATACCTACTGTCATGTAGCTAATCTAGATGCTTCTAAATTCATGTTATTGAGATAAACTGACACACCCATCTCATCTAAGCACAGCACTCATGACTCCCCACCCCAATATCTATGTGTGTGTGTGTGTGTGTGTGTGTGTGTGTGTGTGTGTATCACATCTCTGAGTCTACTTAATCTGTAAAATGGAGATGATAATGTTTAATAGATAATGTTTTCCCCCCATGGGGCTGGAGAGATGGCTCAGCAGTTTAGAGTACTGGCTCTTCTAGAGGACCAGGGTTCAACTCACAGGACACACATGCAACTCATAACAATCTGTAATTCAGGTCACAGGAGATCTGACATCCTATTCTGGTCTCTGTGGGTACTAGGTATAGACACATACAGGCACAAAATACATATAAAATAATAAAATTTTTAAAATGTGAAAAATAAAATCCTTTGTCTAGTCTGGGGACTCATCCACATACTCACCCTGCACTTGAGGGTCTTGTTGTTCTCATGGTATTTCCCTCGATGAGAAAGGATGACCTGTAGTCTATTGTTGCCAAAGCCACAGATGTCCGGGCCTGGAAATTAAACCCCAAAGTGTGATTTCACATCTATTTCAGGCAGCATGCCCAGTCTGAGGCCAAGACCCAAGACAGATGCAGCTTGTGTATCACTCGGTATTTCCAGAAAGAAACAGATGCCACACTCAAAGTCAGGATTATTTGAGGAGGATTTAATGAAAGGGATTATTTACAAAGGGGAGGGAGACTTTGAGAGAAGGAAAGGTACAGTGCTGCTCAGGGCAGCAACAGCAAAGAGAAGGGCAGGAGGAGAGAGTCTGGGGCAGGCTCGGCAGGAGAGGAGCAGGCTTTCAGTTGAGATACAACTCGAAAATTCCTCTAATCTCCTGCCAGGGCCCCACTGACCAAACCCACTGGAAACCCCTCTTAAGTCAGAAGCTTCTGACATGTCACTTAATTCTGACAAATAAGCATTACCATCTCCACTTTAGATGGGTGTGGTTCAGAAAAGTCAAGCAGCTTGCCCACAGCCAAGAGCTAGTAAGATGCTAGGATTCAAAGCCATTCTTACCTAGTAACAGAGCCCAAGACCTCTTCTGCTTTGTGACAATTCTAGTGAGAACTGCATCAGAGCTGGGGAGCCCAGAGAGTTCTGAGACTCATGTTACTGCTCTGTGCTCATAGCTTACAAAGAACTTCTCAGCCTTTCAGCTAATAGCAAGTGTGAAACACACACACACACACACACACACACACACCACACAACACGTATATATACAACACACGCTCACACAACACAACATACTTGCACTCATACACACAAGGCATTTATACTGCACTGTGCCCACACTGGTCTTCTCCCCATTTCTTTACCATGCACTTGAATTTCATACCTGAGCTTTTATACATGTTGTTGATTCTTCCCGCATTACACTCTCTCCTCCTATTAAAATCAAGTTCTCTCATTAAAGAATAATTAATGCCTCCTCCAAAAGGCCCCCAGATGTATTGAATCACGCTGTCTTTTATGACCTCACAGAGCCTCATCAATGCTTTTTCTCCAAAACTTTTTCAAGACACTATGTAGCCTTGGCTCTCTCACCAGCCAAATGAAAGATGAAGTCCCTGGGACCCAATCAAGCGCCCCATAGTCAACATGGGCATTCAAGGGGTCATGTTTGGTGCTGGGCTCTGAGGTATATCTCCAGGCCTCTAGAGCTCACAACCTAGAGATATTCCATGTAACCTTGGGGAGAAGGTAGGGACAAGGAGTAAAGGGTGGTTTGGCTGGCCTAGGACATGAGATGGGATCAGTGAATGCATGGGCGATGAACTGTTGAAGGACTGTGTGTTCAGGTGATGTGTAGACAAGGCTGGCCGCAAACTCCTAGCAACCTTCCTGCTTCTGCCTCTGTGCACTGGCATTTAGCAGCACACCTGGCTCAATACCCTTTTAAAATTAAATTTCTATTTTTTGTCTGTCTTACATGCATGTTTTGCCTGCATATATGTCTATGCACCCCTTATGTGCCTGGCACCATTGGAGGCCAGACAAGGGAGTTGGATCCTCTGGAACTGGAGATGGTTGTGAGCTGCTGTGTGGGTGCTGGGAATCAAACCTGGGTCCTCTTGACAAACAGTCAGTGCTCTTTACTGCTGAGCCTTCTCTCCAGCCTGGCTCAATATTTTTATAGATTTATAAAGTAAATAAATAAATGTATAAATAGAAACTTTATTCTGCTTTTTAAAAGTTATTCAGTTTCCTGAAGGGAGAAGATGCAGGCTTTATAGACAGACTGACTCAGATCCTGGTTTTCTACTCACCTTGAGCAAATTTCTTATCTCTGTTTCCTCCTCTGCAAAATGGGGAGAGTAATACACCGTACAGATTCCAAATAAAATAGAGAGATGCTGGAGCAGACACACTTGAGTATTACACTCTGCATAAGAGAAAGACTGGTTTGAGGACTCTCTCCTATGATCTCAGCACTTGGGGGGGTTGAAGCAGGAGATCACTGTGGATTTGAAGCCGATTTGGGCTACATGGTGAGTTTGGAACTCACATAAGGGGCTGGATGTGAGATTTAAGAAAAAAAAAAGAGGATGCAGATTTTAAAAGGGACAGTGAAGCTGAAGAGGAAGATTTGAAAAAGAAAGAGTACTATGTGAGGAGGAGGGAGTGGAGGGGAGGGGAAGGAAGGGGAGGAAAAGGGAGGAGAGGGGAGGGGAAGGGAGGAGAGGAGAGGGGAGGGGAGGAGAGGAGAGGGGAGGGGAGGAGGCAAGTGTCCGCTGAAGCTGCCAGGGAAAGGAAGTGTCTAAAGAGAATTAAGGGAATGTTAGTGCCTGCTGTCTAGTATGACTCTCTCTCTGACTTTGTACAAAAACATCCGGTCTAGTCCACATTCCTCATCTGTGCTCCAGGAGCTGGAACACTTGATGTTTGCTGGCTTTTCAATATCAACAATTTTGAAACTGGATTCAAGATTGGTTGGAGCTAAAAGCTGGATTGCCTCAAGTGTGCCTACTTACATATGTAGACTACAAATGTCACACTCTGAACATTCACAGATGCTTACAGAAGGTCCTTTCTGTGACTCTGGCCCCCTACCTCTCTGAGGTGGTGCACAGTGCCTTTCTGTGGATCTGTGCTACTCCCTCTCTGAAAACCGGGCTGTGTCTCCATGTCCTATAGACTTGCCAATACCATGTACTCCGGCACCCCTTTGGTCTATTTATACTAACATTTGGTTTAGAGATGCCTTCTTTTCAGGTCTCTGCAGAGTCCTACTGAACAAAGGATGTGGAGCTATCGATTTACAGTCTGTTCAAGGTCTGTGTAAGTCTTTTCAAGCACACAGTGGTTCTTATCCAAATCCCAAGGGCCTGCGAGCAACTGCTACCAGGGAACTTACCGAACATGATGTAATACTGGGACTCTGAGTGCATATCTTCCTGGTTCAGTGTGGCAGGAAAGAGTTTCACATACCCACCGCCGCAATCGATGCCTTGCTCATGTTTTACTGAAAACTGAACCACCAAGGTCTCATTCACATTGTTGAATGGCTTAAACCTGGTGGAAAGGGCATAGAACTTGGCATCTTCAGTGGTCTGGAGACCTGGTAACAGAGAGAAAGTGCAGAGGCTTCAGGCTGAAGTTTCCCACAAGTGCCTGGAGAGACCCAGAGCTTGACTTAAGCAAGCTCTAGTGTTTCCTCACACATTATGGTGTGCCAGGCACTGTGCAAGGAACATTATAATATTATCTCATCTGAGACTCTGAGCAGCCCTGAAAAATGGGCACTATGCCCATTTAATAAGTTAGGAAGCTGAGTCATGGGGAGGAGACGTGAAGCCACGTGGCGTGGAAGTAACCTAACTGGAATTTTAAGCCACATTGATGCATTCTTTCGCATCATGCTATCACTTATTTTCTAGCGAATTTCAGCGTCATTCGGCAGCTACATAAGGTCCTGCTTTGCTGCGGCCAGCTAGGCAGCAGAATAAGGTTCTGCTGTGTACACGTGCTGCAGAAGAAAGGAGCCCAGAGTTAGCTCAGATAAAATAATAATTGTTGCTGTAGCTCACTGAATATTTTAATCACTAAGTAATTTATCTCTTTTGTAAAAATCGTCCGTGTGTGTGCATGTGTGTTGCATGCACACATGTGCATGCTTCTGAATACATGGAGACCAGAGGAAGATGCCAGTAGTTCTGCTCTATCCTTCTCCACCTTATTCCTTTGAGACAGGGTCTCTCTTGAACCTGGAGCCAGCAGTCTAAGCCCCAGTGATTTTCCTGTTTCTGCCCCAACACTAGTACTAGGGTTACAGGAGTATACAGCTATCCCAGCTTTTTATGTGGGTCCTAGGGATTGACTGATTTATTTAATGTGTTTTGTCTGGATGTATGTCTGTGCCCCACATGCATGTAGTGCCTACAGATGACAGAAGAGGGCAACGGATCTCATGGGACTGGAGTTCACAGATGGTTATGAGGTGCTATATGGGTGCTGGAAACCTGGGTCCTCTGGAAGAACAGCTAGCACAGTTCATATATTAACCACTGTTGAGCCTTGTCTCCAGCCCTGGTTCTAGGGATTTGAACTCAAGTCTTCATTCTTGTCCAGCATGCAGGATTAGACAATGTCCTCTCCCCAGACCTTAGCATTTAACTCCACAGATGGTTTCTTCATTCACATGTGTTTGTATATTTAACCCTCACAATGACAATTGAAGGTTAGCTATACCAATTTCTTTACTTTGCCATGAATTCATTGAAACGTGACAGTGACCACCACCAATGAGTTGTAACTGCAGAGCCCTAACCTCCAGTGAATACCAGAGCTGTCAGGGATCCCAGAGCTTTCCTAGGCTAACCATAAGAAGCAGTCAAATAGGAAGTTCCTTACTAAGGATCACACAATCACAAATGACAGACATGTGGAAATGCTCAATGAGTAAGCATTAAACAAAGCTGGATTACACCTGGAATCCCAACCCAGGAGGTGGAGGCAGGGGGACAGCCCAACTTGAATTGTATAACACTTGGTCCTAAAAAATCAACAACAAACCGGGCAGTGCTTGTGCGAGCCTTTAACCCCAGCACTCAGGAGGCAGAGGCAAATGGATTTCTGAGTTTGAAGCCAGCCTAGTCTCCAGAGCTAGTTCCAGGACAGCTAGGGCTACACAGAGAAACCCTATCCCGAAAACAAACAAACAAAAATCAATAACAAAAAATGCTAAGTTACAGGAAGGAGCACAGGGCCTGATTCAGAAAAGGTCTCAAGCATTCCTTGTACACCAAGCTCTATGGTAAACACCTTGTTATCTGACATCATGCTAGGAGCTGTCTGCATTTTGAAGAGTTTTCCTTCTTCTCTTAAGGCCTCTAAGGGGCTAGAAGAGCCAGGGAGGAAGGAATGGACAGATGGCAGAAGACCACACTTTGAGACTCTGCCCTGCCACACGCTGCTGTATAAGCCAGACCAACCTCCTTCTCTCAGTCTCCCAGTGACCCCAGTGTCCTTCCAGACAGCCAGAACCTAATGGACCACAGAGAATGGCTTGCAGAAGGATCAACCGAGAAGCCAAACTGTAAGACGAGTGGCCACACAGATTGCCTGTACTGGAGTGCCAGACACAGGTGTCCCAGGAGATGCTCGGTCTCCAGTTTTCCAGAGAGGATTTAAATGAGATTTTAAAATGCTCAAGCCGGCCCATAATTCTCTCCTTTAATAAATATGAAAATGAGATTCATAACAGTAGCCAGATGGAGGAAGATGGGAAATCACTCCAGGGGATGATCAATGCACCCTATTTATAGAACAAAAGCTTTCTCAGACCAAGAACCCATGCCCACAGTCCCTGTCCTCAGAGCTCACCCTTCCTCCACATCATTTGGCCCTTACAAAAGCTCTGTCTGGTGAGCACGGCAGGTGAAGGCTATCTCCATCTAGAATCAACCCTCGGAGAAGCAAAAAGACGTGCTCCAATTATACAGCTAGTCAGTCTGTCCCAGGTCCATCTGCTCTCCTCTCCCTCACACAGAGCTTCTCTAGAAAGAGCACCATTCGGGTGCTTTGCAGTGCTTTCTCGGGTTTCTGGTGCAGAGTGCTACTGTAAAATCCTGGGAGTTTGGGGGAAACAGCACATATTAGTGGTAAAGGACACAGTCCCTGGAGTCAGATCCAGAGTCAAATCTCAGCTATTCCCTTCAGCTGTGTAATAAAGCCTCAGGCAACTATCAGAATCTCCAAGGCTCCTCTGCAAAACTGGGAAGACAATAATAATCACTTCATGAAAATGTTAGGAAGATGAATGGGGTAATGTGTAAATGGATAGCTTAAAATGTCCATTACTCAGTTACGGGACATAATAAATTTTGTGGAGAGTCCATCCTTTTTGCTGTGTGTGTGTGTGTGTGTGTGTGTGTGTGTGTGTGTGTGTGTGTGTGTGGTGTGTCAGGATCTTACTCTGTAATCCAGGCTGTCCTGTGAACCCATCTTTCAGCCCAAACTGACTGTAAACCCAAGGCTATCCTCCTGCCTCAACCTCCTGAGTACAAGATTACAGGCATTCGCTACCATGTTCAGCTCCATTTACTCTTTTATTCTATGTTACTTTTTAGGTAAGAGAAATGAATTGGAAATCATGGATAAAAACAACGGGGTAAAAGTCATACTTTCTCCCAGTACATTCACACGTGTCTGGATTTTTAGCATTTACCTTTATCTCTTTCTTTATCTTGATAAAATTTCCCTGCAGTAAGCTGGAATTTGCCATAATCTGACTGATGTTTAGATTGCACCCATCGTTTGGTCCATCCGTCTACGGAATAAAGAAAAACAACACATTCAAATGAATTCAGTTTTTGGTGCTAATTAAGCTCTATGGGAAGAACAGCAGTG